AAGGTTTGCTTCAATTGGGGCAATAACCTTTGTACATGGCACGTGTTTGTCAGTATCCGTAACTGTGGGAACTACTTAGTGTATCATCTAGGAAGGACACCGGGATGCTCTTTACGTTATTGTGGAAACAAGGGACACAGTAAGTTATCATCCCCTGCTGTTTGTAGAGCAATAATTTGGATATATCAACAAAGTTGAAATGGTAAATTGGCCACCGTAACGATTACAAAAGCTGACGTTTCAAGCGTTAGCCCTTCGTTTGTAGAGCAGTTTTATTGGAATGCTTTACGATTGAGTGTCGTAAAACTAATATAATCACAATGTCCAATCAGAAGAAAGGAAAACATTTGTAAGAGCCATTGCGAGCCTAAAGTAAAACCCACCAAACTGCCTAAAGTTTGAGAGAGAGGTGCGAGTTTTCTGGAACGATCGCAGAGCGAAGTAAGGAAAAAACAAAGCTATTCCATATTACCTACCATACTCAATTGAAAATTGCATCAAGTTTTGTAAACTCAAACCAAACGTATCACAAGGCCAGTTAGAGAAAAGAGAGAGATCGCAACAGGTAAGTAAAAAAGCAGAGAACTTGACAGCATCAACATATTTTTTATGGCTACGATTTTAGGGCTATGATTTCCAACGTGACTTCCTCGGTACTAGTCACAGACATCCATCGTGGTTTTTGAGAACATGACAATGACATTTCTGAAATATTTTTAGATGTGTGTCAAGCTCGCAATCCATGTAAGAATGGAGCAACTTGTCAACCGAATGGTGATGGTCAGACATGTCAGTGCTCAGCCAACTTCCAAGGAGAATTCTGCGATAAAGGTTATCTTTGTTTGTTACTACGAGAACAAGTCAGGTTGTAGAAAGGGTGTTACAAAGAAAAATCAAACTTCTTGTCAGGATTCGAGTTCCAGCTAATTATAATTTCGTAGTCCTATACTCCTCCATCTTAGCTGCAGAAAACTTGTCGCAGAGTTGGACTATTCTAGGTTGGTTTGTTTGAAGACTCAGCGTATCAGTGGCTAAAGAGTGTGCGCCAAGTTGTATCTGGTGGATGCTCGGTTCCATTCCCCTTGGGACAAATACAATGCCACCATTTCTCTCTCGTCCTAATTAATCGTTTTGGTGCATAGTGAGATCACTTTTATTCAGACATTTCCCAAAACATTTTGGGAGGAGTGACTGGATTTCTACGTAATATATCGCTACTCAAGGAAACCGCAGTTTGTTGTCTTTTCCCCTTTTTTTACGAGCTATTTATTGCCTTATACTCTTTTCTGTTCTGATAAAAGTGACAATAATCTTCAAGGCAGCTGCGATATTCTAGTAAGGAGTCACTTGGGGTGTCGGGAGCATGCCAGGTGCTAAGTCATTAACGCTTTTTATGAACTATTTTTTCTCCTTTACCTTGCGAGAACCGCTCGATGCACCGCTCTGCCACTCTGTGGTCTTCATCTCCTGGGTGGATAGTGCCACTTAGGCCAGAGAGCGGCCATTTAAGGAACACAATAATGTGACCATTGAGGAATTAGCAATGTCATTTAGAGTTTCCAACGCTATTTTCTTTTTCAGATGTGGATGAATGTGCCAAGAATCCATGTAAGAACGGTGCAAAGTGCACCAATACGCACGGAGACTATAACTGCGCGTGTAGCAGTGCTTTCACTGGAAAGAACTGTGACGTGGGTAAGGAAATTACTGATCTTCAGGTTGCAGAGCACCCTTGATTTATTTGACACTCGTATAGAATAAACACATCAGCTTTGATGTTTCTTAAGTCGGAGAGGTGGAGTTCTTTTAATTTTAATGTGCTTTATAGCAGCTTTTGTTTTATCGCACATTTAAAATAATTATGTAGAATTAATTCTTAAAATATGCAAGTGTTGTTTAATATTTGATACTATAAATCTGCCCATAATTGGAGTCCTTAAAATCATGTTGTGTCGAATTACAATCATCTATTTGTTTCACTTTATAATTTGATTATGGAGCCTGTAAAGTATAATGAAACATTTTTGAATGTTACTCCTCCTTAAGACTACAGGCCTTCTAACACAACAAAACTACTGTGGTTGAGTACCTGCTACGAACCAGACTTGTATTAGTCGACGTACGACCTTTTTAACGCAAAAGTGCAACTTGTTTATTTCTCTTTTTTTTTTTTGTTTTTAATCTATATCCAGACGTGAATGAGTGCAAAGTGAGCAATCCGTGCAAAAATGGAGCCACTTGTGTGAACTCAGTCGGTGGTTACAGCTGTCAGTGCCCTGAAAACTACAAAGGAAAACACTGTGATGAAGGTATAAAATCATTAATAATACTTTCATTATTTTTTGTTCAGTTATTAAAAGCATGATTTAAAGCTACTTTTCTGTCCATTTTATAGATGTAGATGAGTGTGAAGTCAAAAAACCTTGTAAAAACGGCGCAAAATGCGAAAACAGCCGCGGTGGATACAGATGTATTTGTGCGGGAAAGTGGTTTACAGGGAAACATTGCGACCTAGGTAGAGTGAATCAAACGTTAACAGATCACATGAATGGAGGTCAAATATGTGCAAATTTACTTCCAAAGGGAAACTGACTCTTCACTTCCCTTATAAATTTTGTAAGTTAATTTGCTCTGGTTCGTTTGTAAAGTGAGTGACGATCGCGATTCCTCTGTTTCCAATCTGAAAGG